CTGGGGTTCAGGCAGACAGGAGGGAAAGGAGGTAAAAAGGATGCAGATGCTAACATGCATATGAGCCACTGCCCATGATGAATATACTCATGGATTGCAAACATACTAATAACACTTGGAAAAAAAAAAAAAACCTGTCCAGGACTATGTCCACTAAAACCCCTGAAAATGGGCATTGGGATGGTGGGGATGGTGAGCTCCTTAAAACTGAGACTGCATCCTATATAGTATAAAGTCCCCCTCTTTCGAGTGGAGGATCAGGAACAGGAGCCCTCACCACAGATGAGGAAGCGATAAACTTGCATAGTGTTGACCCCCGTTGAGACACATGAGAAGGCCTCAAGCAGCCACATTAAATCTGGGACATCCACCTCTTGGACACATGGACCTTGACTGAGTGTGTGGGATGCAATAGCTACACAGGTCACGTGGTAGCCATTGCTACTACGGGGAGAATCTACAGCAAGGTGTTCAGGAGCCATAACTCTCAGCATGGAAATAGTTAATGGGTGCCATTTGGTAGCCATCTTAACTACTGGCACTGTCCACTGCCGCTTGGTCACCATCTTAAGTACTGGAATACCCTGAACCCTTTGGCTAAGGAAGTCTAAGCAAAGATAGTGCTTGATACTAAGAGTTGAAAAGGTGTTCCTTCATCCTTCCATTCTTGATTCCTGGAAAGTAAGCCATTCTGAATGGCTGAAAAAAGCCACATAACCAAGCCAGCCCTGCCATGTTTGCTGAGAGCCAAATGCAATGGCTTCCACAATGACTGTGTTACAAGGGCGACCCTGCATAAGCCTTCTGGCTTCATTTCCTCCTAGTTGCCGTTAAAGAAAAAACACACTAATTCTACTAGGCGTGACACTGAGGCAGTAGGATCACTGTGCCTTAAATCCAGCCTAGGCTCCTCAGTGAGTTCAAGGCCAACTTTCACTGCAGAGTGGGACTCTGTCTCAAAAATCAAATAAAAAACTACTGTGATTGTGGACGTCATACAGAAAGAAGATACGTTAGCCTCTTCAGCTTCGTGGTAGTGACACCATGCTACACAAGGAGTTAAAAACTTCTCCGAGATGTGACTCCTCTGTCCTCTGGGAAAAAGTTGCTTTTGTTTATCTTTCCTGGTCTTCCAGGGAAGAGTTCCCTTTGGCTATCTTCGCCCATTCTCCATGGAAAAGCTATCTTTTGTATCCAAATAAACTGCAGAGTTAGCTGTATTCCTCAGAAAAGAACTAAAAAAAACAAGCCATGAGACTTTCACTCAATTTTTTCCCTTCTTTTCTCCCCCTTTCGCTCTCTGTCTCTTTCTTTCTACCTTCCTTCCCTTCTTGTGCTGAGACTGACCAGGGGCACTCTACCACAGAGCAACTTCCATCTTTACTTTTTTTTAAAAGTCTAAGACCAGGTCTTGGTAAAGTGTGCAGGCAGGACTTGATCTCCCATTTCATCCTGAGTGCCATGATTACCGACCAGGAACTTTCTTAAGAGCTACAGAACCCAGATCATCCAGTTATGTACAGAAAACAGCAGACCACATAATCTGTAACTAAGTACTCTGGAAACTGGAACTACCTTAGTGCCGGCCTATCTGACACACTTCTGTAAAATTGCCTTGATAATCCTTGTGCCTGCAACCCCAAGCAAA